GTGCTTGGGAGAATTATACCTCAATCTGACAATCCCTCGTACCCTTTGCCGAAGACACGCATCACATTGTCCTCTCTGAAGACCTTGGAAATCGAGGTCCTTTTTGGTGTCGCCACTGGCTTCTTGTTCGACCATCTTATACTACCATCACTTCTGGACTTTGTTTATACAAGAACAGAAGATAGCTTTCCGATTACGGCTGACGAGCTAATCTCCTTTTTCATGCGTTCACAGTGCATGGTCCAGACACTCCGACTTACTGTTTTTGAAGATTCTCTGACAGCCTCCAAACTAATCCGCATTCTGGAACGCCAGCCCTCAATTAAAAGCTTGTCGCTATCTTCAACGGCCATCGACTGGACGACGGCAGGATGCATAGATAACAAGTTCTTCCAACGATTCAAGACCAAGTCAAAACCTTCTGTCTTTCTTCCTAACCTGCAAGACCTGCAAATATCTGCCCGTCGTGCATTTTCCTGGGAATCCTTTGCAGATAGGCTGGAGTCGTTGTGGTCACGAATGAAGGATACGGAGTCCAACATCACCTGGGAAACGAGGTACCTTTCATCAGCATTGCAGTCACTTCAGACCCCCTTATAGAGCAACAAACCTGGAAAAGGAATATGTTGACTCGAGTACTCTTTCTCGTCTCGTAAATGCCGAATGGAAAAAAGCCATATATCTCAATATCGACCTCATGGAAGGGGACCAGGAGATACCAGATTTAATTCAGACATCGTTGGCCTTTCATGGTTTAGTAGATGGTAAAAACCCTGCCAGTACTGGAAACTGAATATCAAATGTCCCCTTTATACCTCTTCCTACGTAAAACATTTTTCTTTGGAATTGAGTTACGTTTTGTAGTCTCTTTCCCATTTTCGTAACGATATGAGCAACGCGGCCATCGGAAGTTGACCATCAAGCTAGAGTCCTCAGGTTTGAGACTCGTAAGCTGGTCAGAAGTGTAGACCTCATCGGCAGTGTAGACTTTGCTTTGCCTTAGCTGCACTAAAAGCTTTTATTAGTAGAATACTACCTAATTTTTGCAGCGCGTGACCAGATCCGGTTTCGTGGGCGCTAATTTATCAGCCTGCGACTGTCTTCTCATCTTGCCACCATTCTTTCCTTACCAACTACACAGATATGGTTTCTATGACGCAGATTTGTATTCCTGTTCCAACTCTGGAAGGAATTGGAGAACTACTCTCTACCGTTTGGCAAGGAACTAGTAAGTCCTTCAGACGCACTAACACCACTGCTCATGGTACTGATAACCACCACTCAAAGTTAATGCAGCCAAAAAACATCCATACTTAACTGGACTTGCCTTGGTATTCTGGTCCTACTACCCAAAATTTCCGTTCCAAGTCGTCTTCTATCCTTTCAAAACCCTTTTCGTTGGCGTTCGTTGGTGCTTTGGATTTGGAAGAACAGGGATACGTGGAGGTAAGATATATAACAACTTGTGGTATATAAACCATCCTCATGATTGTCACCTTATGCACTCTTTACAAACTCTTTAGCCAGTCATGCCTCTCGATATCAGTCAGAGCACTATGGTGGATATACTCCTAAGGACAGTTTGTTCGCTCGCTTTCAATCCTACGGGGCTACCAGTGAATCGAGTCTCTTTGAAGATAATGAGGAATCTTCATTCCTGTGGAGTCTCTTTGGATGGGGTTTGTTTCTCGCAGGGGGGAGCATCCTACTTATAGGCAAGGGGACTCAGAATTAGAATTGGAATGCCTCGAAATATGATTATCACACTGTTCTAAAGACATAGTACCAAAGACCAACTGGACGTTTTCAGCTTGATGAAGGCCATATACATTCGTCTGTCTAGGATGTATACCAGCCTTATTCACAAGGGTAGGGTGATTTTTCGAATAAGATATGTACCGACCAAAACATTGAAATAGCTGATATGCGAGTGTGTAAAATACAATATTAATGATGTTTCCTTATCTGTATGTAAACCAAAAGTCCCTTATAAAGCTCTAGGCGTCTCCCATCTCCAACCAGATTGTGTCTCCTGCATAGATACGTTCATTTCTCGGTGCCGGCGTCGTCTCCAGCAGATAAAGCAAGGACCGCTAGTGCAGTTAGCCCAGCCCCAGCCCCACGTAAGTCCTACAGCTTCTGCAATCATCTTCCTATTACTACGGGCCTGAGGCACAGCAGTGGAGATTGTGGGAGCAGAAGTCGTTGTTCGACTTGAAAGAGTAAAGGAAGGAACGGATATCGACGGAGGCAATGTTTCCTGTGGCAGAAAAGACGTAATTGTTCTGGAGTGAAGTTGTCAAAGAAGCCTCAGTCATCGCAGAGAACTATACACCGTGATACTCACGCATTTGCGGCGACGGTTATGGTCACGGATTGGAGATCAAAACGTGTTGGGGTTGAGGAGGGAAGGAAAGTGATAGATAGAAACGTGGCCTCGCTTCCAGGAAGATTTACAGCACGAATGGACTCGAGTGAAGAGTTGAAGATGGCCGAGACCGCAGTGCCGTTTGCGGAGACAGTGACATTCATCGTTGCGTTAGACGAGGAAGTGTTGTAAGGAAGAGCTCAAAGGCTGTGGTCCGGATTAGAAAAGATTAGAAGGTTTTCAGCAAAGGTGGGTCATAACATACCTCGAAACGTAAAAAACATTTGCGGAATTATGTTTGCAGACGCGGACGAGGGTCCAAAGGCGGAGATAGTCTGCACTCCAGGATTAGATGGATCCGATAATTGCCTGAAGAGAAATCCAGTAAATCAGACAAATTGCTAGGCATTGTATGGACGTACCATGCACCAGCGCATGCTTGTGGGTTGGCCAACACTGTTGTAGCATTGCAAACGAAGGGCGTGTAGGTGATCTGGGACGATGTTACAGGGACAGAGACATTAAGCAATTCTTGAGATAAAGCGGGCTGAAGGAGGTAGAGAAAGACTAGAAGGGTCACGAATACCCAATTGCAGACAAGAGTCGTCGAAAGTGCTGAATGCCAGTAAGTTTTCGGCATTCAGGGTAGAGCCAAAGAACCACTCGAAAGGAGACGAAGCCAGAGCGAGGGGTATGCTGGCGCTAAAGCGGCGAAGCCGGACAGGCAGGGACCAGGGAAAGGGTGGCAATGATATGGAAGAAAGGATTGCACAGCGCGCCGAAAGATAAACTGGGTCGCTGCCGCTTGTGGGCACGGTCTCTTCATAAGAGTCCAAGGACGGGCCCTTGGAGTGCAACCGGAGTTACTACAGTGTTTTGGGACGACGAGACATCGCATGACTTCCCATTTATCTCCAACCTGATTCCGTATTTCATTAAAGAGAAGAAGAGTGTGCTCGGCCTGTCATCCGGGGTGTCATATCCTTACTACTTTGTAATGATAAAACGGCACGCTTTCACGCGAGATATCTGTCAAATGAGCAAGAGAGAGCGCGTTGATGGGCTCACAGGTCCCAAGGGCGGCCGAGAGTGGAAAGTTTGTAAAGATCGACAATCAGCCGCGAACGTCGCAGTGCTAAAAGTTGATACCGGACCGACAGATACTGGTTACTTTCATCAAATGAAGCCTAGATTAGATAAATTTTTGATTTTTTTACTTTTCTCTGGTCGCGATGAACATCCAGACAAGGCAGCATTTTCGCATCGTTTTTATAAAAAGACAAGATGGCTGTTCTATTTACTGTTTTATTTCTTCATTGTGAGTGGTTGTATAACAAATGTAGTTTAGCTCTGATTTGCGATTAGCCTGTGAGATCAGCAAAAAAAGCTTTGCTTCCTCAGATAGGAAAAGAACTAGCCCGAAGGTCCAATGCAAGATAAGGTTACGGAGACGAATGATGGTCCAACGGAAAGGAAGGAGACTGTACATAGAGAGAGAGATAATTCAAAGGATCGTAAAGTACAGGTCAGTCGGTGTATTAGCAATTTGACTCTAAGAGAAGACACGTTATCCGCAGTTTTCATCGCAGTGCGCCAACTTGAAGGTTGGGATGCGACAAGATGGTTTTAGTGCACAGCGCATCTGAAGCCATGAAATCATTCTTTCAGAAGAAGACCCACGTTCTGCATGGATAGATACCTTGATTCATGTGAACAAGGTGAAAGGCTGACTGCATTGTAATGAGTCGGGGATGTGAGAAGTAGGAACCTCCAAGAAGGAGACTTTGCCAAAGTTGCCCTGAGAAAAAAAACCTGCGTATCCAAGGAGAGACATTCCTCATGCATGACTACACATTTGAGAACAAAAGCTCGTCCCACCAGGAGCAAGATCGCAGCCAATGGAAAACAAGAGAATAGGAGAGATGGTCGCAAGACAAGGTTTGTCTTGAACATTTCTAGCAAGGAAGCAGACTCCAGTTCTTAGTTCTGCGCTGCGTGAGTATGAGACCCAATCCCGTTGTCTCTGTCTTCTCCCGAAGAACTCAAGCTGTGCCTTCAACCGCAAGATCTCCTCATTGCATCCAAGAACATCATCCAAGAACACAGTACATGTATGTACTTGTACCTACCCGTCTCGAGCTGCGATTCAAATGAAGATGAAAACAAAATAAATTGGGTTACACTCCTTCTGATCAACGAGGCAAGCGAGCCTTTCTGATTCTGATTTCAATCGCGACTCGTAAGAGGAAATAAGTAGCATGTGCGCAGCTTGGAAGGTGTACTCGAGTACAATACACATGACCAGAGCAATGGTTCAGTTGGTCGCCATCGAAGGTTTGATTCCACACAACCAAGTTGAAGGTAGTCAAGACGAAATTGTACATGCCAGCAACCAAATGTAGGTCATGAGAAATTTGGGATACAACAGAGGTTCGGTTCTATTTTGTGGAATCCCCATGAGATGGAAATATTGAAAGAGTTCATAGAAGCCAGGAGGCAGCAAGAACAGAGAAGATGATGATGATTGGCGTTCAAGCTGAAAGGTTTGAGAAGTGCAGAAAAAATTAGAATTTAAAAAATACAAATTGCTCATGCCTCCATAGCTAGACTCCCTGACAAGTAGGGATATCACGGTAGCGTGGCCGAGTGGTCTAAGGCGTTGGATTTAAGTTTCCGCTTTAGAGCTTGATTCCCAATGGGTGTGAACCCGCGCGAGTTCGAACCTCGCCGCTACCATGACTAATAGCATACTTTTTCTTTTGTCCTTCCAAATTCCAAGTCTTTTCAACTTCAACTTCAAGTACTGTGGTTATGTTGGGTATTTGTTTCAGCTTCTACATACTCCTCCTGCTTGAAAACTTCAAATTGTTTTGTCCAGTAACTTGTTCTTTCACTTTGGTTGAATTGGAATTCAGAGGGATACATAGTACTAATACAATATTCGTATTTAACTTTGACTTTGGTTCTTAGCGTATACAACACCAGCCACAAAACCCAAAAGAAAGACAACTATGCATATCGCGACCCAAAAAAAGTGTTTGATAATTTGAATAAGGAATAATATTAGTGGAAGAGAGAGCATATGCACGAGTGCATGAACTTGAGAAAAGAAAGAGGAAGAGAGGTGAAAAGTGAAAACAAAAAATATTTTTCTCTTTGGGGGTGAGCAAGTTATGGGAATGGGCGCGTGTGAGTATCCAACAACGAAAAATGAAATCGAAAAAAGCAAGAACGTCTATCATCGAGGGAGAGGGGTCATAAGTAAGTAAAAATAAGTAGCAGACGAAGAACGAGTAACGGTAAAAAAACAAAAACAAAACAAAAACAAAAACAAAAAACCATGAAAAATCGTTTAAATCATATGCACAATCTACCCATCCATATCCATATCCACATCCTCATCATCCCCATCCCCATCAAGCATAACCCGATCCCCGCCTTCCCTCTTCGCACGCTCATACAACCTCTCGCGCTCCCTCTCGTCCGGCGTCAGATTCGCAAGCGAGAGCAGGGCTTCGGCAAGGAGGACCTGGAGTTCTTCGAGCTCTTCTTCGTCTTGGGCTGCTGGGTCTGGTTGAGTTTGGGTTGGGTTTGGGTTTGTGGTTGGGCGGCAGAAGAGGCAGAAGAGGAAACGGATGATACGGGAGCGATGGTTATCGTTGTCGTTGACGTCGACGTCGTTGTTGATGATGATGATGTAGCAGGTGTAGTCACCGACGACGACGACGAAAACAAAGGTGAATCCAAGCCCAAGCCCAAGCCCGTGGCAGGTGTAGTAGAAGGCGCAATAGACGCAATGACAGACCCTTGACGCGCTGTATCCGAAGACGAGGACGACGTGGCGAGGGGTTTTTCGCTGCCGCTTGCGTACATGCTCGTCAGTGTCGAAATCAACATTGGCATCGGTATGGTCGGCATGGTGCATCCCCTCGTCTTCTTCTTGGAATGGTTCTTGTGCGATAAACGTCACGTCGCCTTCTTCTACTTCCAGACTATCGTCATGGTCATCGCCTTCGCCATCGCCCTCGGCTTCTTCAAGCGAGATGATCATCTCCTCGTTCTCCTCCTCCAGCTCATGTTCATGCTCATGCGCATGTCGCTCCTCAACGCGCACATGATGCCGATGGAGGTGTGCCCTATGCGTATGTGCCCCTGCCCCAGTCGCGTGAGTTTGAGGCTGAGCCTGAGCCTGAAGCTGCTGTTGCTGCAACTCCCGCTGGCGCACCTCCTCCCTATCCCTCCTCCTCTCCTCAATCTCCTCCTTCGCTCTCTCCAAATACCCAACAGCCTCACTCAACACCTCCCTCGCATCTCTCGCGTTCTCACTCTCCAACACCTCCTTAACTTCAGCTTCATCCTCCCCCACCCCTTCCAACCTCTCCTCCACCCCCTCCGCAATCGCACTCCCAATCACCACCCCCGCCCTCCCCCTCGCAGCATACACCACCCCGCGCCACGTCTCAGCCCCCAACCCCGCCGCGCTCTCCAACTCCAACTTCATCTGGCTCAACACCGAATCTGCCCAGCCCGCCCAGACGATCCTGTCAGAGGCGGAAGGCAGCTTCTCAGCGAGGAGTAAGACGGAGGAGGCAATGGCGTATAATTCTTTCGCGCGGGAAAATGTGTTTGGGGAGGGCATGTGCGTGGATATGGAGTTGGGGTTTGGGTTGAGCAGGGCGGCGAGGTTGGGGTGTATGTTTGGGTCTGGGGATTGAGCGCCAGCGGAAGGTGCGATGGAGGATGCATCTCCGTAAACAGACGCAGACGCAGAGGGGAAAGCACCCATCGCACCTCCCGGCACGACATTCTCTTTATTCCCTGCTCTTTCTTTATCCATATCCCCTTTATCCTTCCCGCCCAAACCCATAACACTACCCACACTCCCCTGCCTAAACAACCTCGGTGCCAAATGCTGCAAATGCGGCATGTGCAATATGCCCCTGGAGAACTGGTCTTGCGCGAGCTGCAACAGCTCGTTGGGGGTCGGGCTGGGTTCGCCGGTGGTGGTGTTATTGCTGCTGAAGATACCACTGCTTCCGGTGGAGCTGCCACTGGTGACGCCGGCGATGCTCCCGCCGTTCCCACACCCGAGCGTCACGCGCGTGGTGAGTGGCGGACGACGCGCGATGATGGCTGCGAATGGTGAGTTGGGTGGCCAGGCGGGTTCGTCGGGCTCTTCGGGTTGTGTTTGGGGTACATTTTGAGCTTGAGCTTGGGTTTGGGTTTGAGGTTGAGTTTGGGAGAAGGAGGTTGTGAACGGACTGAGGCGGATACCGGAAGATGTTGTTGTTGTGGTGGTGGTGGTGAATGAAGAGGAAGATGCGAATGAGATAGGAGGCAAAGTTGGATTTGAACTAGAGTATCCAAAGGAATACGAGGACTGCTGCTGTTGCTGCATCCCCTGCACCTGCGATTCCATCTCCTCCCTCCTCCGCTCCGCCTCCCTCTCCCTCCTCAACACCTCCTCAGCAACGCACACCAACGTCCGACCCCACATCACCGCCATCCTCCAATCCTCCGGCGGCCCATTCCCGCATCCCCAATTCACAGCCGTGTTCAAACTCGCTCTGCCAGCACCGGCGCCGGCACCGCCCAGACTCGAACCCACACCCATCCCGCTCAACGCGCTCGACAGGCCACCCATCCCCATGCCTCCTTGCATTCCCCCTTGCACGTCCCCACCCATATACCCACCCGGCACCCTCCCCCGCCCATTCGTCCTCACCGGCAAATTCTCGCCAATCTCAAAAACGTCCAACGCGCCCAACCAATAGGGTGTTGGCCAGCTCGGTTCGCCCTCGTCTTTTAACGCGAGGGAAGGGTAGGATTGGACGATACACCCGAAGAAGAACAGGGTGGTGCCGAGGATGGTGTAGAATGCGGTTGGGAGGTCTTTGCATTTGCATTTTTTGGTGGGTGGGGGGGCGGTTGGGTTTGTTATTGTCGTTGTCGTTGTGGGTTTGGAAGTGGTGGTTAGGTGGGAAGACGGTGCAGAGACGAGGGATGAGGAGGATGAAGGGTCCACAGACGAATCTGCTTGAACCGCACTCTCTCTCGGTTGAGGAGGGTACAAAGGGGGGGATCGTCCATATTATTCCAATTCCCCGGAATAGGAATAGCCATCTCCCTATTCTTGCCTTTATCGTGATAATACAGATGATGTTGCGGTTGACGGTGGTGGTGATGATGTCCGTGTCCGTGGGCATGGATGCCTGATTCTGGTTCGTCGCCGTGCGGGGGGACGGTGTATAGGACGGAGGGGTCGGGGAAGGCGAGCATGAAGCGGTGACATTCGTGGATGACGCCGCGGAGGAGCGGAAGGACTTCTTCCGGTGGGTTGGCTGGGTAATTATAGAGAAAGGGATTAGCAAAGATGGAATTTTTAGATTTGTGAGAAGATGGTGGTCATGAGGATGGATGGAAGATAGGAAGATTGATTATCGCGACAGATCATGGGTTGCATGATGATGGATGGATGGTGGGACGATAGTGCCCAGCTCATCGCCAGCGAAAAATAAAGAAAAAAGCGAAAGAAAAAAAAAGGGAGGAAAGCAGAAAAAAAGAAAGAGAATACACACTTTCATACATCTCAGCAGTCTTTGCGAAAAGCTCCTTCAAATCCTCCCAATCCTCCAAATCAAAGCTCGCTTTCGGACCAGGCGGGACAGGCGGACTCTGCACCACATAATCATCATACTCCAGCCCAACCACCGGCATGAAACTCGTCTGCGGCTGATCGCGGATGCCCAGCCCGATGGAGGAAGTATCCATAAGCTTGGAGCGCATCGTCCACTTGCTCTCGACGCTCAGGATGGTACTGGCGTTATCTTTATCTTTATCTTCTTCAATCCCGCAACAAGAATTGGAGGAGGGATGGGAAGGATGGGCAGGCGCACAGGCTCTTGAGCGTGAGTAGTCCCAATAAATGACTTGTTCCTCCTCCCGCTCGGCGTCGCACTCGCTGCAGCACGAATTGACTGAAGTGGGCGGGGTGGTGGTGGACGAAACCCGTCGGCGTTTCCGCGGTCGGATGAGGGCGTTGGAAAATGGCGTGGTCGATAAGGACGAACTCGTCACCGACGAATGATGATGCTGATGCGGAGTATCCACAGGCGACGAAGCGCGCGATGAGTACGAAGAATCGTCGGACGAGGAGTAATAATAATCCTGGAAATAATCACTCGCGTTGCCGTTTGCCGGATGGAGGGGACGCGGATGGCGGAGTTGAGAAGCCGGGTACTCGCTGCTCAGCGCTAGAATGGCAGGCGTCGGCGATCGTCGACTGTGTGTGCTGTAGGTCGTCCCGCTGCTGCTGCTGTTGCTGCTACTGTTGCTGTAAGACGATAAGGCGTGACTGCTCTGGGTGGTGCTACTCTGAGTCCCACGGGCCTTCCACAGACCCCGTGGCCTGGCCAATTTCTTCTGCGCCGCTGTCTGCTGGTGCTTGATGATGTGCGGCGGCATGGGACTGATGCTGAGCTCGACCGGGGCGCGGGATGCAGCGCTGAATGCCGAAGAGGGAGGGAAAGCGGCGGGGACGGGGACGGGCCGCAGCACGAGGCATGGTGGACAGGCGCAGATGCAGGGATGGCCAACACAGCGAGCGGATCGGCGTTCATAACCTCAAACTTGGTGGATGAAGGGAAAAGGTAAGGGAAAGGGAAAAAGGAAAAAGTTAGTTTCACAGCCCCGACAAAACGATAATATACAATGGCCCAGTAAGCCCAATGACTCTG